TGTGGCAAAATATTATTAAAAGGTACGGTGACTACAATACTTACTTTCTATTTCCTTCTAGCATGTAACTAGCAAGTACTAGTAGCTCAGATGCTGAACAGACCATAGAGAAAAACAAAGCAGGAAGGTAGAAGAGTGAGTGAGTGCCCCAGCTAGTGAGGGGTATTTTACTTAATTTAGCAAAGTCCTCTGCAGTAAGATGATACAGCAAAGACCTGAAGACAGATGGGTATAATATTATCAGTGCATCTTGTGGGAAGGACATTACAGGCTTCTAAAGACAGACTCATGTCTGGTGTTCTCCAGAAACAGGAAAGACACAAGTGTGATTGGACTGGCATAGTGAGAGGGCCCTCAGGGAGAAGAGATGGGGTGCCTCAGTGAGGGGACGGTGATGAGGATGGAGGAGGTGAGGGAGGGCCTGTGTACAGAATCTGAGTGAGATGCAAAAGTGGGGAGAGAGAGAGAGAGAGAGAGAGAGAGAGAGAGAGAGAGAGAGAGAACACCCAGAAGCTCTTGTGAAACTCTCCAGCAGAAGTTCTGGTGGATTTGGTTACAAGGGTAGAGATACTGAGATGTGATCACATGATGTGTTATGAAATGAAAGAAAAGTGAATAGATTTTGCCGATGGACTGGCTGTGAGTGTGAGCAGAAGAGGGTGAGTGCAGACGGGGTGAGGAGCTGCACTTGGAGTGAGGAGCTCACTTTCAGACATGCTAATTTCAGCATCTCTATGAGAGGTCCATACAACTTTGACCTCTAGTTTTGGCTATATGACTAGGTACACAGGACCAAGCTTCTAGGAAGACAGAAATGATGACTGGAAGACCTATAAAGGCACAATGGATCACAGACAGTATTCAAACACCTGAGACCCAAATGTGCACAAGGCAGGGCTGTGTTTGCTGGCTCTCTACCATGTATCTTGTACCGATGCCACTGAGCATGTAATATGTAGGTGGATGTACAATTAATAACCCACTTATTTTCTTTCCTGTCAGTTGTATTACTAAGCAATTGTCTACTTCTGCAAACCATATCCACAATAGCACCAAGTCACAAAACCCTAAACTACATGGTGGCTTCCTCTTTCTGCACACTCAGATGTGCCTTTTACACCTGGGTTGGGTTTGACTAGCAGCCAGGCCCTAGATCCATTCCTGACTCGCTGGAAGGCAGAGGGTGCTGCTACCCAGAGCCAGAGGACAGGGTTGGTGGCACTTCTGAGGGGCTGTCATGGCATCAGGAGGCTGAGATCACAGCTCCTAGCTCACTGCTGAGGTCGCCTTCTTCCCTAATGTATGTAGTGACAGGTACACAGAGATACATCTTTGAAACTCAAACTGCAAACTGGCCCTCCTGGCTCCCACAACACTAAATTCCTCCTCTGAATTCAGAACCTAAGAGGTGTCCCATAGCCTGAGGATTTTCCCACCTACTCCACAGGGATTTCCCTTGCACTGGCTACCCTGCCGTACCATCTCTCCCAGACGCCCCAGGCTAGCCCAGAATATAAAGTACTGACCATCCTTGGAACATCCCAAGAATGTGAACTGTTACCACCATAACAAGCACCAACTGATTAACCCACAGGCTCTCCCTGTGCAGAAGCTTGTGATACCAACCCTCAGGACAGCCTGGCCCGTGTCCTCAGAGGACCCTCGGGCCTTACCACCCCACTTCTAAGTATTCCAGCACATCTGCTTTTCCCAGTGCCACTGCTTGCTAGGAGAATTTCAAACCTGGGAAGACTGGAGAACTTCCATATTAGCTGGAGGCCTCTGCAAGCTCTTGTCTCAGGAAGAGAACAGGAGAGGCCTGAGGAGCCTCTTAAGGGAATCTTCAGCGAGAGCCTTGGTTAAACAGAGTCTTTCCTGAAAGAGCTGTGGGTCGAGTCATTATCTTCTCTCTAGTGTGCTTTTGCCAGTGTCCTGGGCCATTTGTTAGTCTTGGAGAGGGAATGACAGTCCAGGCAATAGGGGACATGTGGAATTAATGACAACACACACCAGCCTGAAGCCCTTAGGCATGCCTGTGAGAGCACACGGGCTACTGCTCTGTGACAGGCCCCACAACTGCTGTAGAGAACCTGTTGTGATGACAGCTGTAAACGCCACTCTCCAGAGATCTAAGAGGATGGTTCCAATTTGGTGGCCACAGACTTCACAGAGGAGCTATGAGCACTGTAATGGCTTGTGATAAAGGCATTATTGATGCTTTTCTTAGCACTGTAGAGAAACAACAGTAATTAGGTGTTTCATTAAACTGCTTTGGAGGCAATACTGCCTAAAGAGCAGCAGGCTTGGCTCAAAGGACTTGTCAATGAAGCCTGTGGCCAGTTTTCTTTCAGAAAGCACTTCCTCCATCAAAATATAACAGAGGAATCAGCTTGGATCTGGTTATGTACAGACCATGGGTATGTTGCTACTTTGGCAGACCCTAGCATATTCAGGCAAGGCCAGGAGGAAAAGAGGCAATTCCAGAGACGGCTGCAAGCTTCATGCACTTCACACATTGCTGGGGTACCAGCACGGAACTCAGAAGTGCACCTTGTGCACTGCTGACACAAGGGTCCCACAGGAACGGGAGGGTGTCCAACACAGCCACACTCACCACCTCTGGAGAAAGAGAACCCATAGCAAATTAATAGATTAATAGATTAATAGATTAATCTGCAGCTGTGATTATCTGTCCCTATCAAGGTGACCATACTATAACCCCCACTTCCATCTCTGTCAGACCATGTTAATCTGCCTTGCAGAGTAGGAAAAGTGTTAACCCGAGACTGTGACCACTCTGACTCTGAATCACAATGCCAATCCCTCCCTATCTGTGTCAGTGTGGGTGAGCTACTTTTAGAAACTCAGGTTCTTCACCTGAATAAGACAATGTGACTCTGAGGGACAAAATACTACGCAAGTGAAGTGTCATAGCATCTTGCCACAAGAGATTTAAAATCAAACACAACTGGTCATACAACACGTGGCAGACACACACGCCCAGAGAGCAAAATCCCTGTCCTTATATTTATCATGTGCATTGAGAAAGAAGAAAGGATTTTTTTTGTAAATATTGCAACTGTAACAGCTCACTTTAACATTAAAGACTTTAGGCAGTGCATTAAAGAGGGGAAGACAACCAGGTAATTTTTATAATAGTGGCTAAATTATTAAGTATCTATTAAGTGTATAGTTGAGATCGGATGTCTGATCTGATGTGATAAGATCTGAACTGGGTATGATTTGAAATGCTTTAAGAAGATCACTCCATGTACACTTCTATGGAGAGGAACCATTTTCCCCCATTGTACAGATTAGGACACTGAAGCACAGTGGAGTTCAGTAATTGTACAACAAGTGGCAAGGCCTAGGCTTATTTATAGGCAATCTGACTTCCCATCACACATTCTAATAAAAACTGGCCAGAGATGGGGCCTCTAGGACTGGCAAAGTTCTATTTCTTGACTTGGAGGTGGTAATTGTAACAGATTTTATCCATGTCTGTTTCTGAACTGGCTTTGTTTCATTTAGAACTATTTAAAATTATAATACTAGTAAATCAAAGTTTGCCATTTGATGATCTGAGTAAAGATGAGTTATGTGTTTTGTATGTCACATTTTCCAACCACAGGCACGGGGTGAAGTTAATGTAGTATTATGACAATATTTGTTTCTACTGTTTGTAGCAGTGGTTCAGAGGCAAGTGGGAAATTATATTTTTAACTTGCAAGTGGGAAATTATATTTTTAACTTGCAGTAGTAGGTACCGTTTCCCCATGGTCCCCTAGGGAGAAAGAGGAGCGGGTATAAGGAACATGTTTATTTAGGCATTTGGGATCCCACCTCTCTTCTGTCCTGCCTTTTTGCTAATGGTTATTAGTCCCTCTCCTCCTGTGTTTGTCATTTACATTCTCCCATGCTTTCTTTTTCTCTTGACTTTTCCTTTGTTTGACTCTACTCTTCAAAAGAATTTACTTTATATTTATTTTATATGTGTTTTAATATAATATAAAATAAAAAAGAATTTATTTTATATGTGTTTTTCCCCTGGGTGTTGGTGCTGGGAACCAAACCCAGGTCCTCTCAAGGGCAACAAGCACTCTTAACCCCTAAGCCATCTCTCCAGTCCCCTGTTGACTCTACTCTTACACTCTCCTGTTTGCCATCGCCCTCCCTCCTCCTGGTCTACAGAACTTGGGAGACATTTCTCATGGGTTACATTTAATATTATGGTAGATTGCTTAGTGTTTATTAAGAATGTCTCTGGGGTTGTCCATGGTGGCACATTCCTAAAATTCTAGCACTGGGAAAGTAAGTCAGAAAGTTAAAAGTTCAATCCTAGGCTGGGCTACACAGTGAGAAACCGTTTCAATAAAAAGGCTTAGTGGCTTTGTACAACTTCCTTTCCACTCCAAAAAATCAAAAGAAAAAGGCACAAGCCAGGGTCATTTCTTAACCTATCACCTATACCAGCTCAGTCTTTCTAATCAAGAAGTACTACTACCAGAACATCTATGCAGAGAGACCCAGTGCTGTATGAAAAAATGGTCTCTTGGAGGCTGCATTGCAAGAAGCTAGAATGAATGTATAATTTGTAAAACCACACTAATATATGATTACAGGCAAGAACATGATAAAATATCCACGTCCCTGTGAAGGAGATACCTGAAACACTTCCAGGGCAGTGGGCAGATGTATAGAGGAAGTTCTCAGTAGGCAGACACTGCAGTGTGCATCAGGGCCTGACCTCCTATAGTGAGTCTGCTAGCCCCTCCCATCTCAACAGGGTCCTGATGGGAGTCTGCTCATTTCATGGGGTCTACCTGCCCCAACCCCTTGAAAGTAAAGACTTATTGCACAGAGCCACTAGAGACTTCCTAGAACTCCTGGGTTTCCTGACTTGATCAACTCCAGGTTCAAGACTTCCTCGACTGTTTCTCAGCCCAAGTCCAGTCAGAACCTCGGACAGCGACATCTCCTCTGGTCAGAGCAGGAGGTACCTGTTGGTTTGCTCTATAAGCAGGTGGAGTTCCCTTGTCCCTCATTTCTCCCTCTGCCTCCAAGAACACTGTTTCTTCCTCCAGCTCCTCACTCTCCTCCGAACAGGAATCAAATACATCAGCATAATACTCTTCAGCAACAAGTGGGTCTTCTGGGATCCCTGAAATAGAGAATAAGCAACAATTGCTGTTATTGAAATCATAACGGGGTGAGCTGGGACGCTGTGTATCCCCAGAGATCATCACCGACAAAGCTTCCTCGGAGCACAGTGCTGACTCTTGGCTTCCTGAAAGTGTCTGCTTGATATAGTCAGCACTTGGCAAAACTAAGCCAGTAGAAAAAGGGACAGTCACCTTTGAAGTTAGGAGAACAGAACCACGGGACAGAAGCAAATGATCTCTTTTGTAGCTTTTGCATGCGCCCTGATTAAAAATGAAGGGAGCCAGGAGAAAAATAAAGATGAGATGCCACATCAAGGCCTTGTTATGCAACACACAAAACTTTATAGCTGAGACAGTGGGAAGAGAGTGTGTTAGTATTCTTCTGGAAGTTTCTTTTAAGGAAGGAAGGAAGGGACGCTGGGTCAGTAGTGAGACAAAGTAAGATGGGTAAGATATTTACAATGACATTTGGCCAAACTGAGGAGGGTATTTCAACTCTTTACTAACAGGCTATGGATTCCCGCTTTTCAAGTGGAGTTTGCTATGTGGGCTATATTCACACCCACATAGGGCATTTATTTAAAAGAAAAAAAGAAAAGGGAAGATTATCCATGTAAGCTTATGGCAATAACCCAAGTTACTTGGCACAGTACCACTAGTGACTAAAACACAGTTGGTGCCTATAAGAATAACAACAAAGAAAGGCCAAGAGTGGGTTACAGGGAGCATGGCATTGTAAATTTTAATTTACCAATGGGGACTAGCAATAGAGAAATAACTCTGGGAGGGAGAGGAGAAAATTACATAATGATACTCTAGCGCAAGATGGGTTAGGCTCTGCAGAACTCTGACTTATAAACAGAATTATCGTTCTTGCTTGCAACGCAGAGCACTGTTTTTAATCCATTGTTACTATTTCCTATCTGGTAGGGAAGTGTGGCATCCAGGATCAGAGGACTGGGGAAGTGTGGCATTCAGGGTCAGAAAATTGCAGTCTGCTCAACCTCTGCCTACTTACATATAAAACTCTTGGAAGGCCAAACTCATGGAACCAAGTCAAAGAGAGGGAAGAGGGAATATATGAGTGAGGGAAGTCAAGATCATGAAGGGGAAATCTACAGAGACAGCTCTGAAACCTCCACAGGACCGAGTAAGGCCATCTGCATGTGGGAGATAGTTATGTAGCTTGGTCTATCTGAAGGGTGCCTGGCAGTAGGACCAGGTTCTATTCCTGAGGCATAAGCTAGCTTGTTGGAATCCATTCCCTATGGTGGGAAGCCATGCTCAACCTTAATGCAGGGCGGGCTTGATCCTACCTCAACTTAATGTGCTAGGCTTTGTTGACTCCCATGGGAAGCCTTACCCTTTGGGAGGAGTGGATGAGGGGTAAGCTGGGAGAGAGGTGAGGGGGGGCAGGAGGAGGGGGGAAGAATGTAAAATGAAATTTAAAAACATAAATTAAATAACAACAAAAGAAAAAAGAAAACCTCTGTGTAAGATGCTTACATTTACAGAGCTCAGGTTTCTGCGGTAACATTAATATAAGGTTCTCTAGTCATGCAACTTGCAGACCCCATAATAAGCTGTTTATGAAAACATCTGTATACAGAAAAATGTAACAGAATTTCCACCAAATTTCTATATCTGTAAAAACAATGGGATTTTCATCAACTAACTCCAGGATCCTTTGAAATAGAACACTAGCTGTAGACTTATTCAGCAAATGAAGACTTAAAATTTCAAAATTACACTTCATCTTTTGGGGATGGTTGGCATGCTGCTGTGTGCATGGGGAGGTAAGAGGACAATGTTTGGGAGTCTCTTGCCCCTGTGGGGCCTGGGCATCAAAGCCCATCTTCAGGCTCCCCTGCTGAGCCATCAGGCCAGACCCCAAAGGAACATCTTATAATTTTCTCCTTATCTATACTCTCCTGAAAAAAAAAAAAAAAACAAGAGGCCATCTCAATCTCTCATGTTCCCACCCCTCATCCCCTCCCTTCTACCCCACCTCCCAGTTTACCCAGACTTTTAACTATTTCCCCTTCCTGAGGCCCTCCTTGTGTGTTCCTCTTAGAGTTCCCCCTTTTACCTAGCTTCTCTGGGGTTGTGGATTGGTTACCCTTTGCTTTACATCCAATATCCACCTATGAGTGAGTACATACTGTGTTTGTCTTTCTGGGTCTGAGTTACCTCACTCAGTATGGTGTTTCTAGTTCCACCCATTTGCCTGCAAATTTCAAAATATTTTTTTTTTACTGCTGAGTAATACTCCATCGTATAAATGTACATTTTCTTTATCCATTCTTCGGTTGAGGGGCATCTAGGTTGTTTCCAGGTTCTGGCTATTATGAATAATGCTGCTATAAACATAGTTGAGCAAATGTCCTTGTGGTATGAGTGTGGATTCTTTGGGTATATGCTCAAAAGTGGTATTGCTGGATCTTAAGGTAGGTTGATTCCAGATTTTCTGAGAAACTGCCTTACTGATTTCCAAAGTAGTTGTATAAGCTTGCACTCCCACCAGAAATGGAGGAGTGTTTTCCTTACTCCACATCCTTTCCAGCATAAGCTGTCATCAGTGTTTTTGATCTTAGCCATTCTCATAGGTGTAAGAAAGCATCTCAGAGTGGTTTGATTTGCATTTTCCCTTATGATTAAGGATGCTGGGCATTTCTTTAAAATGTCTTTTGGTCATTTGAAATCCTTCTGTTGAGAATTCTCTGTTTAGGACTGTACTCTGTTTTTAAATTAGATTATCTGATATTTTGATGTCTAGTTTCTTGAGTTCTTTAAGTTGGGGAAGGAATTGAGAGGGAGAGCAATGAAAGAGATATTGTGATCCAGGGAGGGAGATATTATGGGGTTAGGGAGAAACCTGGTGCTAGGGAAACTCCTAGGAATCCACAAGGATGACCCCAGCTAAGACTCCTAGCAACAGTGGAGGGGATGCCGGAATTAGCCTTCCCCTGCAATCAAATTAGTGGGCATCCTAACTCCCATCATAGAATTGACTTCCAGTAACTGATGGGAGGAGATACAGTGGTCCACAGCCAAGCACTGGGCTTAGTTCCTGGAGTTTAATTGAAGAGAGGGAGGAGTGATCATATGAGCAAGAGGGGTTAAGATCATAATTGAGAAAACCACAGAGACAGCTGAACCGAGCTAGCAGTAGCTCACAGGCTCTGGACTGACACTTGGGCAACCTGCATGGGACTGAACTAGGCCCTCTGAATGTGGGTGATTGTTATGGGGCTTGATCTGTTTGGGGGTGGGGGCTGGCAGTGGGACCAGGACTTATCCTGGGTACATGAACTGACTTTTTGGAGCCCATTACTATGGTGGGATACCTTGCCCAGCCTGACTGGGGGGCTGGCAGCTTGGTCCTGCCTCAACTTGGTATCTCAGACTTTGGTGACTCCCCAGGGGAGGTCTTATCCCCTCTGAGGAGGAGATGGGAGGGTATATGGGGAGGTGGGGAGGAGGTTAAAGGGGAACTGGGAATGGAATGTAAAAATAATAAAAAATAAAATATAAATTTAAAAAAGAAGAAGAAACCAAAAGGCTACACAGTGGGATCAAAATTAGCTCAATGACAAAAATTGCATATATTCCCAAAAGTCTTTGACAGTTCTTAGGATAGGACTTATACACTGTCATTTTAACCCAGGTGGGAAGAGCTGGGATGAGCTGGGATGAGCTGTGCCACAGCATGAGACATACCTGCGAACCAAAATCTGCTCAGGATCTCTGGCCTCACCACCAAGTAGGAGCTTGTGCTGAGAGGTCTGGTAGACAGCTGAAGGCTTCCTACATAACTCCCCATTTGTCCCTTCCCCCACCACACCCTGAACCCTCATCTCTCTGTCAGAATTGTCTGTTCTCTCAATGCCCTCTCCTTCCCCTCCTTCCCAAGTCTCTCCACCTCTTTTAGTCATTCACTTTTTTGTGTTTTCCCCTTCTGCTCTCTCCCTGTCATCTCCTCTTCCTCTCCTTTGCTTTCAGACTTGATTATGACCCAGTAACATCACTGTCCAATCAGCAGTAGCGTGCTCATGGGTGTGCACACTTAAAATCTTTAGAACTAAAACTGAGTTTTCAGGAATAAAGACTTATCCATTCAAACTACATGTGACACTTTGGTATTTTCCCTTCTAGTCAGTATTTCAAAAGTGCTGTTTGCAACTCACAAAAAGTGACTTCTCAGTTCACAGGCTGACACACACTGGTTTAGGATGTTGCCTTCTGCGTCAGAAAGATCCACATGGATATCAAGACCAACAGTGGCTCCCCAGCACTGGTACCAGGTTAACTTTGTGCATTTGGTTGTCTATTAAACACAGCTGATTATCCGCCTCTGGGATGGTTATGAACAATCAATAGTATAAGAGAAACAAGGTATTATGCACCGTGTTATGGGACTCTACTCACTAACATCTGCTGCTACTGGGAGCTGTACAGAGTGGCAAACATCTTGGTTTTGCCCATTAACACCCTACATCAGGAAGATATGTCAGACAATCATAATTATATACCAAATGTGAAGTGCTCCTTATTACATTCAGGCTGTGTGGATTTTTCAGGGCTGACTCAAAGGCCCAGTAAGGAGTGATGTCCCATTGTTTGTTTGTTTTTCCTGCTGGCCTCCACAGGGACACAAGGGCACTTTATTCTCTCCCATCATTTGCCTGGTCCACAAGGGCACTAAGTTCTCTTCAAACAGCTTAGGAAGACATAGGATTCAATAGTGAAAGGTTAGCTAGTCAAATCATTGGCTTCATAGGTTTTATGGCTTTTATTGTAGTTATTTGACTACTTTGAAGATAATCAATATTCAAATGAAGACTGTGGCTGTGTTTCAATAAACCTGGCCAGGTCATATCTGTACCACCCAGACATTTTCCTCTTGAAAAAACAAACAAAAAACAAAACAAAACAAAAAAAAAAAACAAACTAAAAATCTCCCTCTTCCCATAACAGGGCTCACTGTGCACAAAGAGAT